ATTGTAAAATTTTTAAAAAATAAATTTTTAAAATAGTCAAAGAAAAACAAAAACGAAAGGACAATTTATTTTTGAAGAAGCAACAATTTCCTTGATAGCAATGATAAATGTCAGAATAAAATTAAATGATCAATGCCAAAAGAAAATAACTGCTAACCTAACATTCTCTCCCCACTGCAAATATTCTTCCAGAATAATGTAGAAATAAAACATTTTCTGAAAATTTTAAGCTTACATATTAATCATCTGTAGATATACACTGAAGGAAATATTGCTATTATCTTTGAGATACAAGAAAAATATTCCCAGATGGAAGATTTGAGATTCAGAAAGAATTACCAGTAACAAAAGCAGTGAATATGCAACTAAATCTAAGGGAAGTCTACTTAAATAAAGCTACAGGAATAGCTTATTTCACATCACACATAATAGATATAAGACAGGAAACAACATATTAACAGTGCAATTTGTTGATTATTACATTGCAAGTCGTAGTTTAATTCTCCTAAGAATAGCAGAAGTGCAAAGTTTCTAAAGTTCTAGAGGATAAAGTTTAATAATAAGAAACTATGCAGGCTGGTGCCGTGGCTCAATAGGCTAATCCTCTGCCTGCGGCGCCAGCACACCGGGTTCTAGTTCCGGTCAGGGTGCCGGATTCTGTCCCGGTTGCCCCTCTTCCAGGCCAGCTCTCTGCTGTGGCCAGGGAGTGCAGTGGAGGATGGCCCAGGCCCTTGGGCCCTGCACCCGCATGGGAGACCAGGAGAAGCACCTGGCTCCTGGCTTCGGATCAACAGGTGCACCGGCCGCGGTGGCCATTGGAGGGCGAACCAACGGCAAAGGAAGACCTTTCTCTCTGTCTCTCTCTCTCCTCTCTCACTGTGCACTCTGCCTGCCAAAAAAAAAAAAAAAAGAAAAGAAAGAAACTATGCAATCACTTCAAAGGGAACTATTAAAGGTTAATACAAAGAATACAGGATAGAAAGTATTTTGCAAATTAAGATTAAGCATGAATATACATGTAATGCCAAAAATATGAAGACACCAAATAATTAAGAGAAAGACTGTTGGATTACATAAGAAAATAAAATGAAGAGGGGCCAGCACTGCGGCATATCAGGTAAAGCTGCTGCCTGTAGCACCAGCATCTCATATGAGCACCAGTTCGAGTCCTGGCTGCTCCACTTTGGATCCAGCTCAGTGCTAATGTGCCCGAGAAAACACTAGAAGATGGTCTCCTGCATGCAAGTGGGAGACCCAGATGAAACTGCGGGCTCCTGGCCCAACTCTGGCCATTGTGGCCATTTGAGGAGTGAATGAGTGGATGGAAGATCTCTCTCTTTCTCTACCTCCTCTTCTCTGTGACTGACTTTCAAATAAATTTATTTTTTAAAAATAAAAATTTTAAAAAATCAAGAAACTACTTGCTATTTTTGGGAAACATATGTATGTCTGTGTATATATATATATGGGTGTCTGTATATATATATACATATATATATACATATATATACATATATACACATATAAAACACAAACATATTGAAACACAGAAGTACAACAAACATATCTACACACAACAAACTTACCGAAAATAGAAGTACAAAATGCTACCTTATATAAATATTAATGAAAAGGAAATTTGCTGTACTACTAATAATAGTAATAATAAGATAGGACAAAGTAGAATTTAAAGGAAAAATACATCTCCAGAATAAATGTGGACACTTTAGGATGATAGAAGGCTCAATTGGCTATGAAGTTATAATAATGATAAAATTCAATGAAACTAACAGCAACCTCAAAAATATGTCAGAATGCTTGACTCACTGTCTGCTGCCTCCCAGGTTGCACATCATCAGGAAACTAGACTCAAGACTGAAGCTGGACTCAACGCTAGGCACTCTGTGGGATGTGGTCACTCCAATCAGTGTCCTATCCTCTGGGCCAGACACCCATCCCCAAACTTATAATCAAACCAACACAGAAATTAAACATGAAAATTAAATTATAGCTTTAGAAAACAAATCAAATTTATTTAAGGCTAACAAAATGTTATTTAAGAAGTAGCAAATTTTCTATAAAAATGCTAATCAATAACTTTCTTCTACCTCAAGCAACATCAGTTGCTATGGACTCTATTGCAATAATAGAATGGGTCAGATTATTTTAACATTTTTATGTGTTTGTTTATTTCTTTAAGTGGAAGAGAGAGCTAGGACTAGAGAGAGCACTCCTATCTACTATCTTACACCTCAGTATCTCCAACAGCATGAACAGGGCTAGGCCAAATCTAGGAGCAGGGAACTTGATTCAGTTCTCCCATACAGGGACTCAATTATGTGAACCATCACTTGTTGCCTCCCAGGATCTGCATTAACAGAAAACTAGAACCAGAAGTGGATCCAAGGCTTGAACCCAGGTACTCTGTGCTATGCAGGTATCTTAACACATGTCTTAACCAATAGGCCAAACTCTCACCCCAACTAACAATTTTTAAAATGATATTTTAAAAGTATTATTCAATAATGTTTCCCAACTATATGAGATAAAATACCTCCTTTATCTTACAAATATCTCTTAGTCAAGGCAAACTTTCAAATTAATTAGCACTACTTTTAAAATTTCAACAGATTAATCAGTAGTCAGCAAAATATAAATGCAGTTTATAAACTCTCACAAGATATATAAAAAAGATGTTAAATCACAATATTGTGTATATCTTAGTTGAAGTAAGGTAGCTTTTAAAAAAAAGCTGATATAATAAGAATCATAGAAACAAATTATCCAGGAAAATGAGTCCACTGTAGAACAATGTAGTGTTAAATTCCAATCACATCCATTCTGGAAAAATTTCCTCTCACTCACATTAAGATTAACATGGTCAGGGCTGGTGTTTGGTGCCGCGGGTTAGGCTGCTGCCTGCTATGCTGGCATCCCACAAGGAGGCTCTGGTTCAAGTCCCAGCTGTTGTGCCTCTGCCCCAGCTTCCTGCTCATCACCTGAGAGGGCAGCAGAGGATGGCTCACATGCTGGAACCCTGCCACCCGCGGGAGAGACCAAGATGGATCTCCTGGCTCCTGGCTCCTGGCTGCTGCGCTCATTGGAAAGTGAACCAGTGCTTGCTCCCTCCCTGTGGCACTCCACCTTCCACAATATACCTTAGGAATAACTCAATCTTTATACCTGCTTTTGAAGGCAACCCGAGGCCTCCTGATCACCACCTAGGAAGAAACAGTGGCCAGGAGCCAAGAGCAACGAGATTTGTTTTCACCTACTTCAATTTCCAGGGTCAAGAATCTCAGGTTTTTTATGAAGCAAAAGGTGATCTTAAAAATTTATTTGAGGGAAGACTCATCGTAATTCAGGGCCCAAGGGAGAAATTCCCCATTATTCAGCATCTTGCTCAATAAATTGTCATCTCTGAGGGAAATTAAGAGATCCTTATTTAAAAAAAAAATCATTAGAGTCACAAAAAGGACTTTGTAATATGAAAGGTAATTTAAAATTTCAGAGAGTCATTTAGCCTAGCAATTAAGATTCTAGTTAGGATGCACAAGTCCTGTGTCAGAGTTCCTGTGTTCAATTCCTGGCTCTGGCTCCTGGAAAGCAGTGGTGATGGCTCAAGTAATTGGATATCTGCCATTCGCACTGGGTTCCTATCTCCTGACTTTAGTCTGGCCTAGTTCCAGCTACTGCAGGCATTCAAAGTGCATACCAGTAGATGGGAACTCTCACTCTCACTTCATGTCTCTCAAGTAAACAAATAAGTGAATGAGCTTTTTAAAAATCCAACTCCTGCAGCCAGTATAATGGTGCAGTGGGTTAAGCTGCTGTTTGTGAAAACAGCATCCTAGATTGGAGTCCTAGTTTGAGTCCTGTCTGCTTTGCTTCCAATGCAGCTCCCTGCTAATGTGCCTGGGAAAGCAGTAGAAGATGGTCCAGGTGTTTGAGCTCCTGCCACCTACGTGGGAGAACTGGATAGGGTTTCTGGCTCCTGGCTCCAGCCCTGGCTGTAACAGCCATATGTAGAGTGAACCACCAGATGGAAGATCTCTTTCTCTCTTTGCCTCTCCCTCTCTCTTTGTTACTCCACCTTTCGAATAAATAAATAAATAATTTTTGAAAAGTATTTTTAAAATTACTTTAAAATAGAAAAAAAACACAACAGATTAGAACAAAGTAGAATTCCCTCTTTTGTATATGTAAGGAAACAGAAACCTCAGAAATTTGATAGTTTTCCAGTGTCAGGGTTTTCGCAAAGCCGATACTAAAATCTCAATATTCATACTATCTTTCCTATAAAAGGGATCTAACAAACTATGAAGTATGCTCAGTATATAAAAAGTCAAATTTATGGTCTCATACATATCAATATTTTGGGCCCTTGAATAATTGTATTCAGTAAATACTCATTCTAATAATCATTTCACATTCCATTAATTATAATTTTGTTTGCCTTATTAAACTTCAGAGTAGTCACAAGAGATGCTTTCAATGACCCCTGTCTCATAAAGAAGCTTCCTAGAGAAGTTTAATATTTCTTTTAAACTAGGCGAAAAAAAAAAATGAGATGAGGGACATGGCTAAGAGTAAAACAAAAGTATAGCATTGGTGAAATCTTACCACTTACCAATTGTGTAATATTGAACAAGTTACTTAGCTTCTCTATGTCTAGTTTCATCATCTATAAAATGGGAATAATAATAATGGTAAGAGCTATTTTGGAATATTTTAAATATTAATTGAGATGATACCTCTAATAAGTTGAATTAATGAGCTGGATTCAGTAATCAAAATTACATCTCCTTGGATTTCCTAAACTGAAAAAAAATCATTCCAAACAAAATTTCACACAGATTTCTTAGCTTTTCTGCTATGCTTTGATACAAATTCTCTGCCCTTTTGTTTTGTAAGTGAAAAGTCTAGTGTACACTAATAGTTTCATGTTTTTAGCTCAATAGAGAATTATGAAACACACAACAACCCAAGCTCCTAATTACCTCAAACTCCTCCCAGTACCTCACACACAGACTCAGTCCAGTCTTGCCTCCAGCTTTGAAGTCTGCATGGAGGACTAGAGCATGGTGTTCGTTCTGGATTTTGGCTTCACCCACAGCAATGGCTCCTGACCACTCCAGAGTGAGGACTGGAGAAGAGGAAGTGGGGGAGCAGGCCACAGTGACACATGGCTGATTCACAGTGATTCCCATGCTCTGAACCACAAGCATATAGTCAATAATCCTTTTTCTCCTGGGGTGCATGTGTGGCTTTCTCAAAGAGCCTCTCTTCAGGTTCTTTTCCAGTTTACTTGATTTGCTCTCATTCTCTTCTCTGGGGTCAATCTTCCCATTTGTGGCTCATGATTCACGACCTGGGAACTTGAATTTCTGACAGTTTACCCACTTTATAGGTTTAAGATAACCTCGAGTGTGTTTTCCTTTCCATTTGCTCTTCAAAAATCACCAACTTTTGCTTAGACATTGAAGGACTCAAAGCTTGCCTGCCATGAGACTAAGTAATCTTCTACAATGCTGGGAGCAGCTGCAGCCACCAATGCTGTTAGACTTCAGTCTCAATACCATTCCTCCCTGGAGCAAATACATCAAGCTCTCTGATGTTCTCTCTAAATCCTTCTTACTTGGTTAAGTTGAATGAGAATCAGCCCATCCCTTAAATATGGAGTGATAGAGCATGTACAGAAAACCAACATCCCTCCCAAACAATTCTGATTCCTTCCCAGCTCTTACATCATAATCATTGTAGAGTTTAAACCTGGAGTTTGAGCCAATAATGGACTTATAATTGGACTATGATTTAGCATTGCCTGCAAATAAAGTCTTATACCTTATTGATTTATCTTCACCTCAGACACATACAGACACACAGAAAAAGGTACCTACTTTAATAACCACATGTTTTAACAAAGTATTGTTGGACACTGGACATAGTGGGAGTGCTCATAATTGTTACATAATTAATCTCATCTTTGATATTTAATGTTTAATTTAGGAATGAGGAGTTGTCCACAGGTAGAATAATTAGAGGAAGAAGTAAAAATAATTTAAAACCAAAATAGTGTTGTGTCATGAAAGTTAAGAAGGAAATCACTTTTTGAGAAATGAGTAGTCATAGTATCAAACATCAATTTGTTATTTATGACAGCAAATGTGTTCAATTTTAGTTAGAGGGAAAACCAGGCTACAGTCTAAAAGGTGAAGATGGGGCTGTGCTGTGGTTAACCCTCTTCTTGTGGTGCCAGCATCCCAAGTGGGCACCAGTTCGAGTCCTGGCTGCTCCTCTTCCAAACCAGCTCTCTGCTTATGGTCTGGGAAAACAGTGGGAGACAGCCCAGGTGCTTGGGTCCCTCTACCCGTGTGGGAGATTTGGAAGAAGCTCCTGGCTCCTGGCTTTTGGATCTGCCCAACTCTAACCATTTTGGCCATTTGGGAAGTGAACCAGTGGACAGAAGACCTTTCTCTCTGTCTCTCCCTCTTACTATCTCTAACCCTACCTCTCAAATAAATAAATAAAATCTTTAAAAAATAAATAAAAGGTGAAGAAATTGAGACAATGAGAACAGACACATTGGGAAATACACATACAGGAAAAGGTTAGTTTGCAAACCTAAAGGAAACACAATGTTGAAATACTTTTGTTGTTATTGTTTTCATCATTTTAATTTTAAGAAGCAGTTAAAATGTTATTACAGAGGCTGTAGAGAGAAAGAATAATGGAAAACACTCAGGATGGAGGAAAAAATCAATCAAAAAAGGAAGTGTAAAGGAAAGATCAAAGAATTAGAGGAGAGTATTTAAAAGAAAGGGCAATGCTAAAGTCTGAGTATGTAAATAAAGACAGTTCTTGATACAGATGGATATGTAGCAGGTGGAGGTCTGTAGAAAAACAACACTGAAGAACATCATCCCTAGCCTAGAAAAAGAACGATTATGGGGAATGGAGAACATGGGAAATTAAACACAAATAATCCGTAATACTGCTTTACACAGAGAATTCAAGGGCTATGAACAATGAAACAGTGTCACTAGATTTGCAAAATATGTTTATTGGTGGCATAGAAGAGTGTATTTTTCAGGGAACATAATGATAAAAGCATGAATGTATGGTTTGAGATAGAAAAGAGACAATGAGAAATAAAGCTTGCAAGAGAATCTCATGTCTTTTGGCAAGGAGGAAAACAAGGAGAAGAAAGAAAAACACATTAAGAATATGGGGCTGGCGCTGTTTGGTAGCAGGTAAAGCTGCAGCCTGCAGTGCCAGCATCTGATACGGGCACCGGTTCGAGTCCTGGGTGCTCCACATCTGATCCAGCTCTCTGCTATGGCCTGGGAAAGCAGTGGAGGATGGCCCATGTCCTTGGGGCAATGCACCCACGTGGGTGATCCAGAAGAAGCTCCTGGCTTCAGATTGGCCCAGCTCCAGCCATTGTGACCATATACGGAGTGAACCAGCGGATGAAAGACCTCTCTTTCTCTCTCTCTCTCTCTGACTCTCTCTGTAACTCTGCCTTTCAGATAAATAAATACATCTTAAAAAAAAGAAAGAAAGAAAGAAAGAAAGAAAGAAAGAAAGAAAGAAAGAAAGAAAGAAAGAAAGAAAGAAAGAAAGAAAGAAAAACTGCCTGCTTCACAGTTCTGCTGAGCTGAGGTTGCCAAGCATTAAGAATATAGGATGGCTACAACAAGAGGTAACAAAAGATGCAGTATCTTTCTGTTTGGCAGAGCAAAGGATAAATGGCATTAGGTTTCACTGAAAATGAAGTAGTTCAGTCTAGATGTTATAATCTCAGTATAACAAGAGGGTATAGAGGATTATAATCAAGGAACATTTGAGACTGGCCAGGACAATTTAGGAAAACCCACTTGGAAGGCTGCAGCTGCAATTTAAAAAATAAATGATTAATTAATTTGCAGGGGAAACGGGGAGAGGGAGAAGATGAAGGAGAGGTAGGGTCACACACTCACATCCACACCCACACACCCACACCCAATCAGAGTTCTCATCTACTTGTTCATTCCCAGAAGCCTGCAACAGCTAAAAGTCTGGGCAGGAGCCAAAGCCTGGAGGAAGGTACTCAATCCAGTTTTCCCACCTGGGTGGCAGAAACACAAGCCATCACTGCTGCCTCCCAGGGATTGCATTAGTGGGAAGCCACAGATAGGCTTAAGCCCAGGTACTCCAGTGTGGCATCTTACCAGTATTGTAACTTTTAGGTAAAATGCCAGCCCCAGGAATATTTTCAAAAAGAAAGGTAAATCAGGGGGCTGGCACTATGGCTTAGTAAATTAACCTTCTGCCTGCAGCGCCAGCATTCCATATGGGTGCCAGTTCATGTCCTGGCTGCTCCTCTTCCAATCCAGCTCTCTGCTTATGGCCTGGGAAAGCAGTGGAAGATGGCCCAAGTACTTGGGCCTCTGCACTGTGTGGGAGACTCGGGAGAAGCTCCTGGCTTCAATTAGGCTCAGCTCTGGCCATTGCGGCCATCTGTGGAACAAACCAATGGATGGAAGACCTTTCTGTTTTTCCCTCCCTCTGTCTGTAACTCTACCTCTCAAATAAACCGGTAAAATCTTTTTAAAAACAAGGTAAATCAAAGAGTCTCCAAGATTTGATGAAGATTCAGAACAGTAAGTATTTTTGGTGTTCTCAATTTGTGCTAGTGCTTATTATTACCTAGTAATATTGTGTGCCACGAAGGTTGGCTAAAGATCATGATGGTGATATAGTAATAACAGCAATAATAGTACATGCTCAATAAAATGTTAAATGTAGCTATCTTTGAGGTACTGAATTGATCATTTGACATGTTCCAAATCATTTATTTCTCATAGCAATCCTATGAAGTAAGATTATTTGAACTACATGCTTTGACCAAGGTTATTGAACTACTAAGTAGCAAGCCAAAAATGATATATGTAGGTAGTCCATCTCCAGAATAAACATTCCTTCAGGACAGAATCTATAACACTGTAATTGTCATCTACCACGTTTGTGCTATGAAATGTAAAAGGATAAATGTATTCCTTTTCCTCACTAGTGGCCTCCCTTAATTTCTCATCAAGGCATATACCAGCACATCTCAATTTATGAAAAATGCATAACCTTTTATTATAATGAGGGTTTCTGAAGTATATGCACACTTCTTCTTTAAACCATTCATAAGAATAGAGAGTATCTCCTCTTTTCAGTTAGTAAGAATTTCAGAGAATTTAGCTGATTTACCAACAATTTGGTAGCTAGCAAAACAACTGTGATTTAAATTCATACCTTCCAACTCAAGTCCAAAGCCTTGGTCATCCATTATATTAGCAGATGCTAACCACTCCTTGTTTTAAATATTCTTTATATTTCTCTTGCATCTCCCAATCTCATGGTTCACATTCCTATTTCAAGTTCCCATAGTTCACTAGAACATTCCTACAGGGTTTCCTCTAATACAAATGGCTCTTTTAGTTATATTTGTGATGGATCAGTTGTACCAGTGTTCTAGTGATTCATTTCTCTTTGTATCTGTATACTTTGATTTGTAATTTTGTACAGCTTTCCCCGGGTTTGGCCAAAGGACATTATCAAAAAGGATTTAAGGGACTGGCATCATGGCGCAGTGCATAATCCGCCACCAACAATTTTAGCATCCCGTATGAGCACTGGTTCAAGTCCTGCCTGGCCCAGCCCTGATTGTTGTGTTCATTTAGGGAATGAACCAGAGGATGTAAGATCTCTCTGCTTCTGTCTGTATGTCTCTTTCTCTCTAACCCTGCCTTTCAAATAAATGTATCAATCTTTTAAAAAAGATTCAAGTAGAAGTTTAAAAAGCATTTGCTTATTTCTGCTTTGCTCTTATTCCTGCCATGACCATGAGCCTAGCCAGGCCTAGAGTATTGCAGTGTCTAACATGATAGGGAGCACAATGGCCCTAGCTGGCCCAGCCAAGGTGAGCATGGAACCAGACTACACCCACTTGCCCTACAGTTAAATGAGTCAAACTACAGCTAACCAGTTAGCATAAGTTGGCCCAGCCAAGATCAGCTCAGTTGAATCTGACAAATTGAAGGTTTTTGTTGTTTGTTACCTAGCTTTTTAAAGTAACAGATATTGAGGTATGATTGTCGTAATATCAATCCAAAGTCAAAATGACAATTTCCATTCATGATTTTCCCACATACAAACTTTCTCTTAACTTTCTTTGCATGTATGCATAGCCCTCATTTTATGGTCACTTTATAGAACTTCATTCTCTAGCAACTTCAATCAACATAGCTTGCTGGTTATTATCCTTAATTTCTATTAAGTCTTAAAAGTAAAAATCGGGCTGCTGCTAGCTCATCTGTCTCCTTTGAGTAAATCAGAGACTCCAAGCCAGCCTGCAAAGCAGAGTACAGGCTGAATTTCAGTCTCCCACATGTCCTTGAGCCAGGTCCCAGCTGCCTAACTTTGCCTCAAGCCCCACTTGGACTACTTTTAATTAACAATATTCTGTCATAGCAATTTCTGTAAAAAACTTTCAGTAGTTAACCATGTTTCAATTCCATACCTCACATAGATTTAGTATCTCTTATTTTTTTTTCAGTTTTGTATTTATTTGCGTTCATTTATGTATTTTTCCCAAGCAACTCTTTAACCTCTCTGAGAGCCACACTATATTCATTTTTTCCTCATCCTCTTAACAGATGTAAGGAAGCATTTGATAAGACACAGTAGGTCCTCAGTACATGCTAAATAAGATGATGAAAATATGTAAAACTTTTAGAGATCACCTACAATGACTTTTTTGACAGGCAGAGTGGACAGTGAGAGAGAGAGACAGGAGAAAAAGGTCTTCCTTTACCGTTGGTTCACTCTCCAATGGCCGCCGCAGCCAGTGCGCTGCGGCCGGCGCACCGCGCTGATCCAGTGACAGGAGCCAGGAGCTTCTCCTGGTTTCCCATGGGGTGCTGTCGCTCCCCCTCTTCATGGAGGAACGACACAGGACCCTGCCTAGGCTTCATATCCAAGTCACGGCACCATTATGTCGCTCCCCCTCTTCGCGGAGGAACGACACAGGACCCTGCGCTGTTCTTTTGTCTGCTCGGCCCTCCCCGGGTTTGCTGCTGGTTCTTCCCGGGTTGGCTACCGACCCTTCCACCTCCGTGGAAGGGCGGTTCCCCCTGCCACATTCCCCACTTCCGCAGGGGAGCGGCACACCGCCGGCCGGCTCTCTGGGGGCTGCACAGGTGTTCCTTCAGATAGATGTTCCTGGTGCATGGTGTCTCTCTCCTCCTTTATAGTCCTCTTCCACCAATCCCAACTCTGCTACCCACACGCCGAGTACGCTGCTCTCCTCCAATCAGGAGCAGGTCCTGCTGCTTATTGGTTGAACTGGAGGCAGCTGTGTAGAAGCTGTTTCCTCCTCTCCCAGCACCATATTGTGGGAGAGCAGATGCATAGAATAAGTCTTAATTCGAGTAACAGTCTAGTCCGAGTTGCTCCCCACAGGGTGCAGGGCCCAAGTACTTGGGCCATCCTCTACTG